CCTCTGCTGCGATGTTTACACCTCTGATGACGTCTCACCAATGATCTGAATTAGAATATTTCTGATTGTCTGAGTAAAAATGGAATCAAATCAGTTGCCCAGCCTTATTTGGACCCCTTTGAGAAAAATTTCCTTCCATACATGTTCATCTGTTTATTTGAACATTTTTTCCTTTATCTGTGATGTTCTTTCACCTGCTCTTCTCTGCAGGATGCAAGGTGGGAAAGACTGTGTGACACCCAGGTGAGAAGGGGAGAGTCAAAATGAAACTACACGGGTGTTTCAGTGCAATAAAATAAGACTTAAAATCAAACATGATGAGCCTGAAAGATGAATTGTGAAATAAATTATGTTTACACAACAAGTGCATCCATGCTACCCTCGCTCCCTGTCAGTGCTGGGAGACATCTGAACTTTCATTGACCCCCCCACCTCAAAGACTCTAGTAACAATACATTTAAGACTTATTCTCATTAAGTTTATTTTGTTTTTCAAATGTTGTATATTTATTATTTAATACATTTATTATTTACTTCTTAATGTTTTCTTTCTTTCTTTCATTTCCATACCCCTAAATGTATGTGGTTACACACAAGTTTTATTTCAAGTACAAAGAATCTGACTCGCCTCGTCTACACAGTAGCTGACTTATACGTTTACTGTTTCAGTCATCTCACCTATATCTGTTGTTCCATTTAAGGCAAAAAAAAATGGTTAGGGTTAGCATATCTCTGTCCATAAGTGCATACAGCAGTACATACATAGAAGAAAAGTTGGAACATACTTTTAGGGAGGTCAAACAGAACTGTGAGCTGGTTCTTGGCAGCAGAGAGTTTCTGGATGCGAGTGAGATGGAGAAGTCCAGGTGGCAAACTGCTCAGCTGGTTCTCAGAGAGATTCACCTGTTGTAAACTAAAGCAGAGGAAAAATGGAGGTTAGGGTTATCCCTACCCTACAATTACATTTGTCTATAAATCAATTAAGTATAGATTATCAGGATAGCCAATCACATGGCAGCAACTCTGTGCCTTTAGGCTTGTAGACACGGTCAAGAAGAGCTAAGAAAATTCATACCAAGCACTGGGAAGAAAGGTAATTTACCTGATTGTGAACAAGGCAAAGTTCAGTGGCAAGACAAAGACCAAGACAAGAAAAGGGCAACACACACAAAATTATTAGCGTGTGAATGACTTTCCTTTGCTAATTTTTAAAGTAAATCGACAAATTCCCAATGGAGGCGTTCCAGGACTGTGTCCTCATGTACCTGGAGCAGATGACTTCCTGGGAGTTGTTTGCTAAAGGAAGCTCCTGAAGTTCATTGTTAGAAAGATCCAAAGTCCTCAGACTGATGAGACCCCAGGGCACCACGGAGGGCAGAGAAGACAGGCAGTTAGATGACAGGTCCAGCTGGGTGATACGCGCAGAGACATCCATGAACCAATCCAGCTCCAACCAAGGCAGCTGAAGACCACGCCAACACACACTGACAACCTACACACAGACACACACAGGGCAATGTTTTACTAGACTGTGAAGAACACAGATGCATTCAGAGCTACCTCTCACAACTCTTAATGGTCACATATTCTGAAAATAGTTAATAATTTATTAGGGCTTTAATTATGTTAACCCTAAAAAAACAGAACGCTTGGAC